AAGCACTTATCACATGTAGTAATTATGGTGTACATCTGTCTTCCCTACTATACTCTGAGTTCCTTGCCAGTAGGTAGTTTCTGGTTTTTTTTAATTAGAGAAAGAGAGAGAGAGAGAATGTGTACGAGCAGGGGGAGGGGCAGAGGGAGAGTGAGAGGGAGAATCCCAAGCAGACTCTGCACTGAGCATGGAAGCTGATGCAGGGCTCAATACCAGGATCCTGAGATCATGACCTGAGCTGAAATCAAGAGTTGGACACTTAACCGACTGAGTCGCCTGCTCCAGTACGTAGTTCTTCATTCATCTTTGTATTCCCAGGACTTAACAGTGACTGTCCCACTGGGGTGCTCTATACATTTTTTCTTTTCTTGAATTCGATTTGGGGGTGACTAGCTGGCTCAGGTGGTAGAGCGTGCAACTCTTGATCTTGGGGTTGTAGTTTCGAGCCCCACGTTGGGTGTAGAGATTAATTAAAAATTAAAATAAGGTCTTATAAAAAAAAGGATATGTATCTGGATCAGCCACACATACCCAAATATATTCTTAGATATCTGATCGTGACAAACCGTGACCTGGTCTCCAAGGCAAATTTCCTTTCCATCTGCACGGGTGCTGCTCCTTGACCCAGTTTCTGTGTAGTTTATATATCGGTACTTCCCCACTTCCTTTTCCTTTGAACTGGTATTCTAGCCTCGATATGCAAAAGTTTACTGTCAACTCTATGATTCCAGAAGAATAAACCTGCGGGTAAAGTGGTTAATTACTCATTTAGGAGTATGGATTTAGCTGGCTTTATATTTCATAAAGATTCATAGACTGATGCCCCCAAAGATGAGCTGCTTAGTCTTAATCTAAGTACAGATGAGCTACCTGCTAGATAGAGACCAAGAGTCTATCCAGTCCAATATTCTAACATACTATTGGTTTACTTTAATTTATGGAAGACTTTCTATTAAAAGCTGACATTTATTATAATTTTAATATACCCTTTGACAATGGAAGCTGAGGCTTAGGGATTATTTTAGTCTGCTCCGGCTGCTGTAACAAAATACCAGAGACTGGGTGGCTTGAATAACGGGCATTTATTTTCTCACGGTTCTGGAGGCTGGAAGTCTGAGGTCAAGGTGCCAGGATAACATGTTAGGTTCTGGTGAGAGCCCCCTTTCTGGCGTGCAGGTAGCTGCCTTCTTGCTGTGTGCTCACATGGCCTTTCCTAAGTGTCTACCTGTGGAGGGGAGCTCTGGTATTGATTCCGAGGACATCAGGATGGTAACTATCTACCTCGAACTTCTTCTAGACCTCATTACCTCCTAAAGGCTCTACCTCCAAATATTATCACATTAAGGGGTAGGGCTTATAACATATCAATTTGGCTGGGGTGGGCGTGGGGAACATAAAAATATTCAGTCCATAAACTGATTAAACCACTTTCCTATGGGTACTCAAAGAATCCAGTAGCAGAGCAAATGCTGACTTTAAACATTGCTTTATTTTCCCTAATAATTCGTCTTTATTGATTTTTATACATGGATACTCAAATAAATAGTATATTAAAAAGCAAAATGTTACTAGTTCTCATTGACTGTCTCTTAATGTATTTGGCAAAACATGAATCTCTCCTTAATGTTTATTTTTCCTATATGTTTTTCCATATTTCTCAACTGTTTGAGTGAAGGCAAACAATATAGGGTCTTTCTCCCTCTCGCTCTTTAAAGTTTCCCCAGAAAAAAAAGAAAAGGACTAGGCACTGGCAATTTTATTTTAACACAAGAAGTCCCCAGATTGTAATTCTGATAAGTATTTCAGTTCTTTCTTGAAAAATTAAATTCACAAAACAATTGATTATCAGTTATAAATGGCAAAAACACCATCTGGCTTTCAAAATTGTTTAAATCCATGTAGCAAGGGGGAAAATGTTGGAACTTGTTGTTGGTGAGGAGTTCTGGTCCACGAAGCAGAAAATGACGAGCTTTACTATGAGAAAACCAGAGTAGTCATAACTTGTACTTAGCGGCTGTGGGAATTTGATACATTCTTCACATGTTCCATATGTTAAATCGCTTGGCGAGATCTTCAGTGTGAAAGAGATGGGGGGGGGGCGCGGAGAGGAGCGTGGCTAGTGTATAGGGTAGCAACAGCTTAATCCTAAATTTTCAGCTCTGGGTCTTTCCATGCAGACCAGGGCTAAAGATGTCCCATGACCGGGGAAGTTGGATGTGCAGGTTCCTGAAGCTTATGACACAGGTGGCAGTTTTGGGGTAGAATTTCTAAAGCTATTTGCATTCCTCTGGTGAGGTAAGTCACACAGCATTAGCATTTCCTACAGAAATGTCCCATATTGTTCTTTGCCAATTGGAAATTTGAGTAGGTGTTCATTTGATGTGCCAAGAGAAAGAAGGGAGATGAAAACACTCCACATCTTCCAATGTCCCCATACTGTGTTCCTAGTGTGGGAGGCTTGGGGCCTAACTAGGTTCTCTTAGAGATTCAGCCTCATAAGGAATGCTTTTCCTTAGGAGTATAATGCAATCCTGTTATTTAAAAAAATGTTTCTCAGTTGCTGGCATATTTTTGCCTTATGTTAAAAATGGAGCTATCCTCTGCTTATTATTCATGCATTGTAATGTGATGTTTATTCATTCACTTAACAAATATTTGTTGAGGCACAGTATAGCATAGTGGTTAATTGCACAAGCCCTGTCTGCACCTCAGAAACTTTGACCTCCGGGCAATTGCTTAATTTTTCTAACTATGTTTAAAAAATATAAAATGGGAAATAATAGTATGTGCCATGGGGATTGCTCCAAGTATTAAATGAGATTATGTATGCAAAATACTTAATAAAAAATAATTGCAAGACTAGTAATAATAATAGCAAATATAAATATTACACTGAGCTAGGGTGCTAGAGTTCCTGGCATACAGGACCTTACTTTATTGTTTACACATCATCCTTTTTTTTTAAAGATTTTATTTATTTATTTGTCAGAGAGAGAGAGAGCACATGCAGGTGGAAGGGGCAGAGGGAGAAGCAGGCTCCCCGCTGAGCAAGGAGCTTGATGTGGGACTCAACCCCAGGACCCTGGCATCATGACCTGAGCTGAAGGCAGACACTTAACCAGCTGAGCCACCCAGGCATCCCTACACATCACTTTCAACATACATATAACCTCAAATTTTTTTATCCTGATTTTGGCGGGACTCTCCACTCTGCCTTTGGTCTGTCCAGGTAGCTGTACTTCCAGAGGTTATAAGGCTAGGTAGGACTTTGCAGATTGGACATTATTCTGGTCACCACGTGGTGATGGTTTCCTGTCTCATGTAGCACTGTGTGTCTGCTGGAACTTTCCTGACTTCTGGAGGACTGCCTGTAGTTCATGCACCAGGGCTTGTAATTACAGAGCAGAATATCCAGGGCTGTAAAGACAGGGCAATCTTGAAATTAGTTTATGCATAATGGATAATAGCAGGCTGTTTTTAAATGTAACTCATTTGGTGGGTTGGCAGATCTTGACTTCCTTTTTGATATGTAATATTTATTTATTTATTATTATTATTATTTTTCTTTTAGCTAGATGAGGACAGAGGGCCAGGCAAGTCCTCTAGACTACAGCTCAGACTTAGCAATTTACATTCAGTAATCTCTTGGTCATTTAGCCACAGATAATTTGTCATGGTTTGTTTTAGCTGTTGTGATATTGATATTTATTATGCAAATTGTATTTCCTACATCTTATTGTTCTGCATTCTATGAATACTTAAATTATTATAAACCTTTACACTTAATATGGCTCGTCCTTCAATTTGATGCTTGAGCAACAGAGGGTCAGAGCGCATACGATCTTCTAGAGGGGAAGAAAATAAGTAATTAAAAAGCATACAAACAAGAGAGCCGGCTGCCTGGTTGAAAAGAAAGCAGAGGCAATTTCGGAGAGAGAAAGACAGTCTGGAGAAGCAAATCGTTTCAGCCGGGAGAACCTCTCCCAGAGACACGGGAAGCTCAGAGCACCTGTTGGTGCCCCAGCCGCCTTAGGAGCGACTGGGGGCGTAGAGAAGGAGGGAATGGGTTTGAACCCCAAAGGAGGAAGATGGCAGACCCTATCTTCACACACCCCCCCCGTCTCCGCCCACCACCCCGAAGCCGTGACAGAAAAGATTTTTTGTGGATATGTGTAATCGTAAATATATATTATTACACATGTCAAATGTATTAAATACGCATATATATAAAACGCAGGAAGGACACCTTCGGCGAGCTGGGGAGCCGGAGCCGACCCTCCCCGATCTACCTTTCCGGAAAATCTACAGCAAAGATACCGACTCGAAAATCCCAGAGCCCGACTCGGGCTCCTTTCTCCCAACTATGCCCAAGTCTACCGCTAGGTTGTTGAGCGGGCTTGCCCGCTCCGCCGGACGTGCAAAGCACGCATGCACTTCTCCCAGATTGTTTTGTCAATCCGGGGACCTGCATTCTCACTCTCCACTCCCGAACAGCCCCCGTTTCCCAAAGATCTATTCCTTCGGTGCAAGGTGAGTGACGGAAATTTGCAACGTGTGGTTTCCAGGCCAGATGCACTCGGTGTACCAGGCAGGGGAGCCTCCTCCTAGGGAGATTCTCCAGTCGTCGGTCGGCTATAGCGACTGCTATATACATTCTTAATATAGGTGTACGGGAAGCGAGACCCGCCCCCTGGAGCCCGAGCCCCCACAAGTCAGGCGCCCAGGAGAACACTTTTTCCTTGATCCCGGGGAAGCGAAAACGAATTTTAACATAAACACATTTGCATACGCCCCTCCCCTTGGCCCCGCCCCTAGGTGGCGCGGGCGCGCCGCCGAACGCCAGCGCCAGGGGGCGGGGTGGGGGAGGGGGCGAGTCCTCCGAGAGCCGGGTTGGGCTACCGGCGCTGTGATTGGTCGGTCCGGACTCCGCCCCCCCAGTGCATGTCATTAGCATCTCATTAGTTGTCCGCTCGGGCTCCCGAGGAAGCCACCGCCGCCAGTCTGAGGCAGGTGCCCGACATGGCGAGTGCTGTGCTGCCGAGCGGATCCCAGTGTGCGGCGGCGGTGGCGGCGGTGGCGGCGGCGGCGGCGCCTCCCGGGCTCCGACTCCGGCTTCTGCTGTTGCTCCTCTCCGCCGCGGCACTGATCCCCACAGGTAGGTGTGGGCACCAGCCGGTTGGCCCTCTAAATCTCCTAAGGCACCCCAGTAGCCATAGCCGTGGAAGGGGGAAACGTTTCCATGACAACCTTCCCCCACTTCCTAAATCCGAATCGGAGGGAGTGTGGAGAGGAAACTCAGGGCTGAGATGGAAGGGGCAGAGGGGATCGGTGATCCCCTTCTCCCTTGCCCATCTGGGTGGGAATTGGAGCCCTTAGGGATGGCTGCACCCACACCTTTTCTCCCCGGCTTGGCGCGGGGTGCGGAGTGGAGTGAGAACGGGGGGCCCGGGGGCTCGAGAATATGGGAGAAGGGGATGGATGGAAGGCACCCCCCAACCTTCCGGACCCTCCCAAACTCGTTGTTGTCCCGGTAACTTGCAGGTCCTCCCGTCCCAGGGCTGCCCATTCGCCCCCACCTCTCCATCGGGTCCCCTAAATCTCTATCCCCCAAGCCTCCCCATGGCTGACTAGCAGCCACCTCCGGCGTGATTGCTCACCGATCCACAGGACATCCCCAGACTTGTCTGGTCGCCGTTCCTGCGCTCCCCGCGCTCTGCCTTTCTCCCCCAGTCCTCCGAACCGCGCGCCCCTCGTGTCTCCCTCCAGCCCTA